ACCCGGAGTCATAGATCGCGACCAAGTTTTGGGTGAGCAAGCGCTTGCATAATGTCACTCTCAGTTTCCAAAGCATGTTGCAAGTCTTGGCTGAGAGACAGCTTACATGCTCGCTTCTGGAACGCACAGCCCATGCCACCTTTGCCTAGGAGCTCCACATTCACGTAGCCCAAGTCTGTCTCGAGTAGATGCACGAGGTTACGCAGGTCCTGGTCCTGGTCCTCATCGCCGTCATCGTCTCCCAAGATTTTTTGTAGCTCAGTCCCTTTGAACCCTTTGTCATCCTTGTTTTAGATTTCGATCCAAAATAACCCTGTGTATATAATATCCAAGAAATGTTGCGGTACTAGGTTTGTTATCACTATGATATGTTGTCTTGTTTTAAAAAACCCCTTGCAACCTTGATGGGCACTGATGCTGCGCAAACATAAGGCCACATCCATCTAAACCCTGGCGCTTGCCAAAGAAAGATTCTTAAACCATGGTTCAATGATGGCAGACATTTTCCCCAAAGGCTGCCAGTCAATGTCGTTGCACCTGACCTAACATCCGATCATTGTCAAGTGCTGCCAGCGTGTAAGGCCCCGACTTCAGCATCCCAAGCAACCACCACCAATCCTGCAACGAACCACTTTCAAGACGAGCAGTCAGGCCACACCCACGTCAAGCTGAACCCTGCGGGACCCCGCTTTGCAAGCAGGGGTCCTACAAGGGTTGGCTAGACAACGCGTGGCAAAAGAAAAGGACCGCCTCTGTAGTTTTGCAGAGCCCCGCCATGATAGCCTGGTCACATACGAACAACAGCCAACAACACCGACAACTTGCAAGCACGCTTGCCATCGCAGGATCTTTCAACTGGGGGGAATCAGCAACTAGTGTCAACATATAGTGGAACATGAAAGCATTCGCGGGCAAGAATAAAAAATACGCAATTCAACAGAAAAAAGGAAATGAACAAAAGTAGCTGCCTGTAGCCACGCTGATGCTCTGCCAAAGTGCTCCATGAACGCGTCACATAGACGTAGCGAGGCTCCATGGTGGCTCACAAAGGCACTACCAAAGGCGCTCAGGGTCGTCTACCAAGTTCGAGCTGATAAAGCTCCCCAAATCCAGTTCGATTCAACGCCCTTCAACTGAATGATTTGACTTTGAACGAACGGATGACTGCGAGGTGACATTGTAACAGTGGTTGACCATCAACAAATGATTGTATCACAAACTGACACTTCCAGGCACAGCCAAGATTGAAAAAAAACAAATGTATTTATACAACATGACCATGTCACACAATTTAAAGCTGAATGTTACTAGTAAGTGCAGGGCGGTCTACTTTATATACCTTTAGTCGCCCCGTTGGTACCGACAAAAAGGGCCTAGTCAAGGATTTTTAGTTTGATAAAACAGTGTGAGCCAACGTCTCCAAGCATCGCTTCAAAATAACTTATTCTGAGCAAGCAGTTGTCAGGTCTCTTCTTGTAGACAGCATCTTAAAACAAAGTTCACCGTGCTAAACGTTTTCACAGAAATGCTGCACAAAAAAATCCATATAACCAACGTCTTATAAGGCGTATACAATGCGTAAACAAACAAATTTATTTCCTGTGTGCCTGACGTGCTTTTGTCAACTGTGCCGGGTGCCGGTGCTGGGTGCTTTGAGCTGGGTGTGCGCATGCCATGCACACAACACACACCCAGTTCTGGAAAAGACCAGAACTGGCGACATGCATAAAAATCCTATTTAGCCAGTGTCGGATTTTATTAGCCGACACTGGAAGTAATACGCACAACACACACCCAGTTCTGGAAAAGACCAGAACTGGCAACGCGCACAAAAATCCTATTTAGCCAGTGTCGGTTTTTAATAGCCGACACTGGAACTAATACACACAACACACACCCAGTTCTGGAAAAGACCAGAACTGGCAACACGCACAAAAATCCTATTTAGCCAGTGTCGGATTTTAAAAGCCGACACTGGAAGTTGAGTTGAGCCCAACGATTCCTAAAGAAAAAGATGATGAGTTGCACCTTTCGGCGTTATTTTACACCTTTCGGCGTACTAGTTACAAGTAGTGTTTGTTGGTTATTTTGTGGGCTGGGCGTGCCCAAGCTAAGGCCCATGAACGCCAGCAGGACGAAGAGGCTAATTCCTGAGTCTCCTGAGTTCTGGTGATCACAACCCTTTAGAAAATCTAGCTTTCAGGAGCTATGTTCCAAATAATGTCCAGTGCAGACGTCAGCCAACCTGCCACCCCATATGATTTCGGAGATAAATAGAAACATTATTTTGCACTAGACCCCCAGGATTCAATTCTGGGAGTACAGACGGGGATCTTTAGTATATTTTAAAGTGGATCTGAATAAAACAGATCATGTGTCAAAGATCATGTGAATTCATGATCAATGATTCACCACAAAAATGCCAAGAGCAACAGCAGCAACAGCTATACAACAGCAAGTAGTACAACTTTTAGTACGCGGAGTATCTGGGGAGCTGGAAGATGAGAACTGGTGACTTTGTAGTACAACTTTAGTACGCGGAGTATCTGGGGAGCTGGAAGATGAGAACTGGCGACTTTGTAGTACAACTTTAGTACGC